CCCCTTGCTCCTCTCAACTCATCACTGCTCGCCTTTCTATCACCAGTCCACCCTCTTGTTCAGTGATTCTCACAGAGGGCTCAACCAGCGTGTCCGATGGCCGGCTGGTCTGCTGAATTAGGCCTGTTTCAAGGCAAGACAGTTAGGCCCAGGGCGGCCATATTGGTTGATATATCGAACGGATTTACGGAAAAATTATGTTGGGATTTGATAACTAGAATTAAATTTAGTGTCATGTGACTCGGTGTGATGAGACTTTTATGTGTAGTGATAGGGCAGGGGATATGTAGTTGGACTTACATCTGCACGGTTGAGGTATCGGATTCTGGATGGTTGTAAGTGAAAAATAATACTTTACTTTTGGCAATCTCTTTACTTGTGTATTGAAATTAGATTTTCCAAATATCGAGTTTTTCTGGTAGAACTGTAAAAAGCCCTTCACTTCAGTGAGCATCTCCGCCGCATAGCTTCACCTGCAGAGGCCAGTGCTTCGGCTTCTCTCACAGTACCCGAACGATTTCTTTTTTGGACCTACACCTTCGTATCCCTCAACACACTCAGAACCGACATTCCCTGCATTGATCTACTAGTGCGTGCCATGCCATGTGTCATGTAGGAAACAGGTACTCATAAACATATTTATTTATTTACAAAATAAAAAATACTACGCTGATTAATCCTGTTCTGGCACTTGTGATCTCATGAAATTTCCTATAAGCTCTCATTATCGAATAGTAACAATATTCTATTGATCACTAATCGATGTTGAACATCGGCAGCATTTTTCGATCGCATTTCATTTCTGAACATTTCGACGTTTCTTGGCTCGTTCCAGCACCACAACGAAGATCTCTATAACAAGTAATATTCAAAGTAAATAAAACATTCAATTCGAAAGGGAACCATGTTTTCCTCCCAACGTACCCGCAACTACAACGCCGCTTTCGCACACGCTCGCCTGTACCACACGTTACCGTACACAGCGACCATTGTGACCACCTTGTCCATTCACACTGAAAACGGTGTATTCATCCCAAGCCATATTCCCTGATGTTTTCTGACTACTTCGGTACCTTTTCAGTTTTTGTGACGCTAGTTGACAGTGCCACAGAATCTTGCCCAGATCGAAGCGATTCTTCTGGTTTCAGAGCTGCTTGAATATTCTCCTCGAGCTAAACATTTGAATGCCGTGGTTGGACAGTATAGACAAGTCGGATGAACCAATTTTTGGACATCGGAGAACGTCGGTTGCGCGCGTCTGTCGAAAGTAGGTTACCCCGCCCAATTCGCGCGTGGCGCACCTCACTGAGGTCTCGCAATGACATTACAGTACTATCAACCGTCAGTGGAGCGCATGATTTGCATTTGTCCGTGTTATCTATTCATTAGGTGACTGCCGTAGACCAAGTGCCAATCGTATGCCCCACTGACAACTACGACGTCTGTCAAGTATCGCGGGCTGACCACCCGCATGCGAAGGCTGCGGCGTGACCTAGTTCCGACGGACGCGCGCAACGAAGCGCACCTATTTTACTGCTGCTTAACTACGAAGTACGTGCTGTTTGACCTGGGGAGCTTCAATATGCACGATTTCCATACCGTCTGCACGATGTAAGCGGATGAGGAATTGTGGACATACAGAACTACCAGGCGGCTATGCACGCTCTCGCGCGCGCTAGGGGCTCTGACCATGGGAGACGCAGC